GTTAAGTATTGTGATAATATCGTATCGTGGGATGTATGGTGATTCCCACCTCTAACGGCTAAGCAGCAGAGGACTGAAATGGTTCTGACTAATTCAAATTCATGTGACAGAAAAACAGAAAAGAAAGGTTAGAGAGGAAAAGTTGGATTTTATGTTATAAGAAATCTGGACTAAAGACTGAATTTAAAAAGTTGGACTGGAGTAAAGTTATGTGAGAAAACTGGAATGACCTTTCACATGAGAGAAAAAGCTTCTGTGCAGGCGTGCTCTCCTTCTCCCTATTTTTCCTGCCTCGTTCTTTCCTCTTCCTTTCCTCTCTTCATCGTCTTGTTACTTCTCATTACTCCGTCTCTTCTTCTGTTCCTCCTCTCTGTACTCAGCTTGTACCTCTCAGTAAACGCAGTGTTGAGAGCTTATTTTCTGCTTGGCTGCTGGTGGACGACTCACAGCCACAGGCTCAGCTCTGTGTGTGTGTGTGTGTGTGTGTGTGTGTACGACTTCACTAACCTCGCCATTTATTACATAAATGAACTTGCCGGCGTGTTCGAACCTTATTCAACACACGGACAGATAAAAAGTTATCAAACCTGACTCATCCCATAATTGTCTCTCTGTGTTGTTGCCATGGATACAGACTTACAGATGTGAGAGCCTGCTGAAACCAGAGTAGTTACAGTGAAGTGTTTTCAGCCCTGCATCATTTCATCCTCCTCTGAGCCCTGCCCTCCTCACCTCATGTTGTAAAGGGGTTTTTTCACTCTCATTTGAAAGGATTTTTAGAAATGTTTTCTTTGTCTCTGTCAAGGATCTGAACATGTTTTCACTTCTTTCTAGTGAGGAAAACCACAAAGATCTATGAGCTGTAGCTCTGCAGAGTCCGACCTGCACTCCTTCCATTTAGACAGATTTCCACCCGCCCTCGCTGGCGAAGGACCAATCACAGCCGCTGATCTCATACAGGGCTGATTTGATTTGATGACCACATGTAACCATACACAGTAGAATGTTATTTACTCAGTTAGTTTGATACAGCATGAGTGAACATGTTTTAAATGTCTGAGAGAACTTCAGTAAGCTGATCAGACTAACCCAGATGGAAAAGATAGAGAAAAAACTTATAAAAGACTTTAGGGCTGCCACGATTACGTCGACTATCAGAATCGTCGACGACTGATTTAAT